GAGACTCAGGGAGCAACACAAATTATAACAAAATAAGTATCTAGTACTATTAAATTATAATATATATTAATCTTAATATGACACTATTCTGATTGCCACTTGTTTTATTGTAACATAATATACCGCATTTAACATGTTTTGCACGTTCATTCCCTCCCTTTGTTGCACAATCTGATGTTCCTATCCAGGCCAAATGTGACAATGTACATATTCTCCTTGTGAGATAATTAGAATAACTATGGTTTTAGTATTTATTTGACATATCTGGTCCTTCATAGCCTCACAGCTCTTCCCTGTGCTATGAACAGATTAGAACTATGACATGATACAATGAACCAACCTTCAAAACAAAACAGGGAACGTACAGGTCCTGACACTTTATAAGAATAATTATAGATAAGGGTTAGTGTTGATGTAGCTATTGTGTTTAGGAAACTGTTTTCTGATCTGCCTCACCACATTCTGGAAGGACTTCAGTCATTCATTATAGACACTTCAGAACCACTTTACTTCAATGGAACGTTTTGAAGAAGACACCTTTTTCTTCTTAATACTACTTTTATTTTTGTAATAATATAGATAAATTTGACTGATAAAATATTGATGAACTACATTTGGTGCTAAATATTTTTTCTCTGGATTGTTTAGGCCTAGGACAGACATGAAAACACTGAAGCATGATTTGAAAGTGAACAAACAAATCAATGTGAGGTCAGGGGGATTCCTTTCCCTGAGTCAGTTTTGGGATTTTGAAATCAAATATAACAATCTGGTGCCCTCAGAATAAACAATAAAATCAAAATATACCAATTTTCTTACAAACATGTATTCATTAAAAAACCAATTGGATCATGTCTAATGATAGATTTTTCTTGTACTAAATGCATTCTTATACATCTCAACTGCACTGTACAGAGAATACACCTTTTAGTATCACGAGATTATACCAATACAAAACTGAACATGACTGATGTTAACTGTGAAGGGACATATTCCCTGTGTTAGCACGGGCTAGCTGTGTTAGCACGGGCTAGCTGTGTTAGCGCGGGCTGGCTGTGTTAGCACGGGCTAGCTGTGTTTAGCACGGGCTAGCTGTGTTAGCACGGGGCTAGCTGTGTTAGCACGGGCTAGCTGTGTTAGCGCGGGCTAGCTGTGTTAGCGCGGGCTAGCTGTGTTAGCACTGGCTAGCTGTGTTAGCAGGGGCTAGCTGTGTTAGCACGGGCTAGCTGTGTTAGCACGGACTAGCTGTGTTAGCACGGGCTAGCTGTGTTAGCGCGGGCTAGCTGTGTTAGCACGGGCTAGCTGTGTTAGCACGGCTGGCCGTGTTTAGCGCGGGCTGGCCGTGTTAGCGCGGGCTAGCTGTGTTAGCACGGACTAGCTGTGTTAGCACGGCTTAGCTGTGTTAGCGCGGGCTAGCTGTGTTAGCACGGGCTAAGCTGTGTTAGCGCGGGCTAGCTGTGTTAGCGCGGGCTAGCTGTGTTAGCGCGGGCTAGCTGTGTTAGCACGGGCTAGCTGTGTTAGCACGGGCTAGCTGTGTTAGCACGGGCTAGCTGTGTTAGCACGGCTAGCTGTGTTAGCACGGGCTAGCTGTGTTAGCACGGGCTAGCTGTGTTAGCGCGGGCTAGCTGTGTTAGCCGCGGGCTAGCTGTGTTAGCGCGGGCTGGCTGTGTTAGCACGGGCTAGCTGTGTTAGCACGGGCTAGCTGTGTTAGCGCGGGCTAGCTGTGTTAGCACGGGCTAGCTGTGTTAGCGCGGGCTAGCTGTGTTAGCACGGGCTTTAGCTGTGTTAGCACGGGCTAGCTGTGTTAGCACGGGCTAGCTGTGTTAGCACGGGCTAGCTGTGTTAGCGCGGGCTAGCTGTGTTAGCGGCGGGCTAGCTGTTGTTAGCACGGGCTAGCTGTGTTAGCGCGGGCTAGCTGTGTTAGCGCGGGCTAGACCTAGCTAACATGCTAGCAGGCAGTTACATGTGCTGCTGGTGACACATAGGTTTTCCAAACATGTCTGGATATAATGAGGGGATTTGAACTCATCTACTACATTAGCACAAATATGTTCTGTTTGGAATGAATTGGCCTAGATTAGGCTAGAAGCACAAACAGGCTAACGTTAAAGCTATCACTGGTGGACCTGTAGTCAGTGAAATTCAGACTGAGTTCATATCAACCAAGACAATGTAAGACAAATGTTATGGTGCGTTCAGACCAAACGCGATTTCTGCGGCCAAATCGCGTCTATCGCGCGGCTTGAGCCGCTTGTGACAAATTGTGACAGCCGCTGTCACAGAGAAACTTGGCCGCGCGGCCAGGACACTAGAGGGCAGCCGCTGTCACAGAGCGTTGAGAGCGTTTAGGGGCGGGGCTTGTCTCTTTGCCTGTAGCTTCCCAAAATGGATGTCAGCGAAGGAGTTGCTTTATCTGTATAAATAAAGCCAGACACGTCGTCAAAGGGCGAATCGACGACGTGTCTGGATTCACCAGATAGTCCGTAGACGGTTGGAGTTTGGTGAGTTTCACCATTTGCTCCGGGAGCTGCGCTCGGATGAGGGTCGCTTTCAGCGGTACTTTCGTCTCTCCCTGGCCCAGTTTGGACGACCTACTGACCCGCATTGGCGCAAGGATCTCCTACCAGGACTCCAACTACAGGCGCTCTATTCCAGCTGAAGAGCGCCTGTCCATCTGTCTGCGGTTTAGTGTTTTTTACCCCATTCAGAATTCCTAAAAACTTACAAAGTGTGTTCATTTTTCAATCACAATCACAATGTAATTGCTCAGAAAACAGTATTATGCAACAATATGGTGTCTATGATTACTGTCTATGATGTTTACTGTCTACTAGTTTAACGTATTTTATGCTACACAAGTTTTGTCACGTGATTTTTATGAATGTAATTGTGATAAATATGTTCATATCATTTTGTAATTGCAGGTTTCTTGCCACTGGGGACTCCTACAGGACCATTGCGGGGAGCTTCAGAGCGGGCATAAATCCACGTCTCCATGCTCATCCCAGATGTGTTGGCAGCCATCTGGGACTGCCTCGTGGAGGAGTTCATGGCTGTGCCTGGAGCAGAGGAGTGGAGGTCCGATGGAACTTCCCTCTGTGCTGTGGGGCCATTGATGGGAAGCATGTGGCTGTGAAGGCACCCCCCAACTCTGGGTCCATGTTTTTTAATTATAAGGGGCACCATTCCCTTGTGCTCCTGGCTGTAGTGGATGCCCAGTACAGGTTCAGGGTGATTGATGTGGGAGGGTACGGCAGATCCAGCGATGGAGGCATCGTGTCCAACTCTGCCTTTGGTGAGGCTCTGCGCGAGGGCACACGCGACCTGCCTCCTGACCAGTGCATACCTGGAGCTGACCACAGAGGACCCCAGCCCCATGTGTTCGTGGCAGATGAGCCTTTTCACTGCGCTGCAATTTAATGCGCCCTGCCCATCTCCAGGATGATAGGATGAGGATGGCTGGAGATGGGCAGGTTCCTGCACGAGAGGGAGCTGCTGCCGGTGAAAGAACCACTTCCAGGCTGCAGCGGATGGCCGCCTGGAAGCCAGCAGTGGACATAAGGAAGTGTTCAAGGCCCACTTCAGTGAGGAGGGAGCACTGCCGTGGCAGCCCACAGAGTAGTCATGTCCCACCACAAGACTGACCCACATCTGGCCATAGTCCAAACCCATATTGATTTGCACTATTCTATTCACCTGTATACCTTCTGTTTCTAGGTAATGACTGCCAGACTCCACTGCGGGACTCCACTCCAACTTCAGGTTAATCATATGCACATTCAAGCTTTTCCATAATATTACAAGGTTGTTCAAACAGTAAAAAGGTGAAATGAAATAAAAAATACTGTCAACTACTGTATCGCTCTTTAGTGTTTGTATTTCCATCTTCTTAAAACACCAGTCAGCTTTAAATTAAAATAATTTAAAAATAATAAAAAATAAAAAAACATCTTCTATAAAAAAAAAATAAAAAAAAATAATAAAAAAAATTAATAAAAAAATCAAAAAAAAAAAAAAAAAAATATTAATAAAAAAAAAAAAAAAAAAAAACAAAAAAATCAGAAATTAAAAAAAATAAAAAAAACAAACAATAAAGAATATAATAAAAAAAAAAAAAATAAAAAAAAAAAGAAACCGCTAAAAAAAAAAATAAAAAAAAATCCCCAACAAAAAAAAATATAAAAAAAAATAGAAAAAAAATTGAAAAAAAAATAAAAACAAAAAAAAAAAAAGAAAAAAAAAAAAAAAAAAATAAAATAAGAAAAAACATAAGTAAAATAAAAAAAAAACAAAAAAAATTAAAATAAAAATAAAAAAAATATTAAAAATAATAAAAATTAAAAAAAAAAAAATAAAAAAAAAAAAAAAAAAAAAAAAAAAAAAAAAAACAAAAATAAAAAAAAATTAAGAAAAAAATAAAGAAGTAAATAAAATAAAGAGGAGGGGAAGGAAGAAATGGGGGATAAAAAATAAAGAAAAAAGAAAAAGCATAATAAAAAAGAGGAGACAAAACAAAAAAGATAGGGAGGGGGATAGAGGGGGGGGAAAAGGGAAAAAATAAAATAAGGAAAGGTAGAAAAAAATATAAAAATAAGGGGGAGAGAAAAAAATTATAAATAATAAAAAAATAAAAAAGGAGAAGAAAAAAAAAACAAAAAAAAAGATAAAAAAAACGTAATGGGGGGCCGGGCGGCTACCTGACGAGGAGTATCGGGGGGGGCAAGATTAAAATTATACCCAAAGGGCGGTAAGGAAAACAAAAAGATGTCTCGAAAGGGCTGTGAAGGAAAAGGGGGACCAAAATAGCAAAAGGTCGGTGGTGCGAATCGGGCGACAAACATACGCAGCGAGAACACGACGGGGCGCGCACCACACGCACAAACCCCCACTACCCAACGACACCCTACCCGCGACCCTGCCTCCGAGCCCCAGCCCCGGCGCCGCCCCCCCGCCACCCGCCCCTTCTCCCCCCCCCCCCGCGCTCCCGGTGGCCCCTCCCGTCAAACCGCCCCCCAACCCCCCCCCCCCACTCCCCCCACACCAACCCAACCCCCCCCCCCACCAACCCCCCCCACCCCCCCCCACAACACCCCCCCCCCCCCACCCCCAGACCCCGCCACACCCCCCCAACAACACCCCCCCCCTCCCCACCCCCACAACTCCCCCCTCCCGACCCCCCCCACCCCCCCCCCCCACCCCCCAACCCCCCCCAGCCCCAAACACCCCCCTCCACCCCCACCCCGCCCCCCACCACACCCCCGCCCCCACCCTCCCCCCCCCCACCCTCCCCCCCCACCCCCCCCCCCCCCAACCCCTACCAACCACCACACAATCCCCCCCACCTCCACCCCCCAACCCCCCCCCCCCCACCACACGCCCCCACCACCCACCCACCCCCACAACCCCTCCACCCACCACTTATTCCCCCCCCCCAAACCCCCCCCACACCCCCCCCCCCCCACCCCTCACCCCCCCCCCCCCCAACTCACGCACCCTCACCCCACCCCCCCCCCCCCAACCACCCCCCCTCCCATCCCACCCCCCAACCCCCCCCACACAACCCCACCCACCTATATCAACCCCCCCCCCACCCCCCCCAACCCCCCCCCATCCCACCCCCCACCCCCACACCCCCCACCCACCCCCCCACCCCACAACCCCGCCCCCACCAACACCACCCCCCATCACCCACCCCCCACCCCGCCACCCACCACACCCCTAAACGCAACCCTCCCAAAACACACCCCCACCACCCAACCCCTACCAACCCCCCCTCCCCCCCCCCCCCCCCCTCCCCCCCCAACACCCGCCCTACCACCACCACCACCACCCCACCAAACCCCCCGCATACCTCCCCACCCACCCCCCCCCCCACCCCCCCCCACCACTCCACACCCTCGTCCGCCCCACCTACCCCCACGCTCACCCCCCCCCCCAGCACACCACCACCACCCCCCCCTCCCCCCCCCACCCCACCATACCCCACCACCAACCAACACACACCCCACCCCCCCACCAACCCCCCCACGCCAACAATCTCTCGACAGCCCCCGACCCCTCCCCCCTACCCACCACCAACAAACCCCACCCTACTCCACCCAACCCCCCATACCCCCCCTAAGACCCAAACACCCCCCACCCACACCACCCCCCCCCCACCCCCCCCCCCCCCAACCCCCCCCCACACCCCCCACCCACCCCCCCAACCAACACCCACAAAAGCCAACCCCACCCCCACCCCCCCCCCACACCCAACCCCACCCCCCAACCCCCCCCCCCACCCTCCCCCCCCCTCACCCACCCACCAACCCACCCCCCCCACCACTACCCCCACAGCCCACCCCTCCACCCACCCACCCCCACCGCCACCCCCAACCCACCAAAACCCCCCACCCCCTCCCACCACTCCCCACCACCCCACCCCCCCTCCCCTCCCCACCCCACACCAAACACAACCCCCCCCCACCACCCGCCCCAACCCCCACCCCCTAAACCCAAACCCCCACCCCCTCTACCCCACCCCCCCCCCCCACACACCACCCACCACCCTCCCCCCCCCCCCCCCCCCCACCACCCCAACCCCCCCCCACCCCACACCCCCCAACCCCCAACCCCCCCCACCCCCCCCCCACCCACAAACCCCCTCCCAACCCCCCACCAACCCCCCCTACACACAGCCCCACCGCCCCACCCCACCCACCCACCCCCCCAACAACTCCTACACCCCCCCCAACCCCCCCCCCCCCATCCACCCCCTACACCTCACCCCCCCCCCCCACCCCCAACCATCCCCCCCCCACCCCCCCACTCACCCCCCCACATCCCCACCATACCCCCCACCACACCCCACACCCCCCCACCCCCCACCCCCCCCCCAACCAACCCTCCCCACCACATCCCAACCCCCCACCCACCCCCCCACCCCCCCCTACCCCCCCACCCCCCCCACAACCCACCCCCCCCACCCCCTCACCACCCCCCCCCCCCCCCCCCCCCCAACCCCCCCCCCCCCCCCCCCACCACCCCCCCCCTCCCCACCCCCCCCCCCCCCCCCAACACCCCCCCCCCAACCCCACTCCCCACCCACACCCCCACCCCCCCCCCCACCCCCCCACCCCCCCAGCCACCCCCCCACACCCCCACAACCACCACCCACCACCCCCCCCCATCCCCCCCCCCCCCCCCACCCCCCCCCACACCACCCCCCCAACCCCCCCCCCCCCCCCCCCCACCCCCCACCCCCCCCCCCCTCCCGCCCCCCCCACTCCCCACCCACCCCCACCCACCCCCCCCAACCCCAACCCACCCCCCCCCCCCACCCACCCCCCCACCCCCCCCCACCCCCCCCCCCACTCCCCCACATCCCCCACCCCCCCCCCCCCCCCACCCCCCCCCTCCCCAAACCCCCCCCCCCACCCCCCACACACCCTACCCCCACCTCCACCCACCCCCCCCCACATCCCCCCCCCACCCCACCCCCAACCCATAACCCCCCCCCCCCCCCACGCCCACCCCACCCCAACCCCCCCTACAGCACCCCCCCCCCTACCCCCCACCTCCACCCCCCCCCCCCCCACCACAACATCCCCCACACCCCTCCAACCCCAAACAACCCCACCCCACCCCCCCCCACCCCCCACCCACCAACCCCCACCCCCCCCCCCACCCCCCCCCACCCCACCCAACCCCCCACCCCACCCCCTACCACCCCCACACTACCCCCCAACACCCCCCCACACCACCCCACACACACCCAACCACTACCCCACCCCGAACCCACCACACCACCCACCCCCCCCACACCTCCAAATCACCCCCACACCAGCACCATACCACCCACCACCCACCCCCCCCACCCACCCCCCACCATCTCCACCCCCCAACACCTCCCCCACACCCACCCCCCTACACCCCCCCACCACCCCACACCCCCACCACAACCCCCCCCAATCACCCAATCCCACACCCACCCCCACCCACCCCTCCCGATCCCCCCCCCACCCCACAACCCCCCCACCCCCCACAAAACCCCACCCCCCCCCACCCCACCCCGTATTCCCCCCCCACCCCCCCCCCCCCCCCCCCCCCCCCCCCACACATCCACCCTCTCCCACCACCCAAAAACCACCCCCAAACACCACACCCAACCAACAACATCCCCTAACCACCAACTCCACTCAAATCACACCACCCACCTTCCAAACCAACCCCCCCTAAACCATCACCCCAACCCCCACACAACAACCCCCCACCCCCGACCAATTCCCACCCACACCCCCAACACCCCACTCACACGCACCATCCCCTCACCCAACCCCCCAACCACCCCTAAAACCCCAAAACCCTACCCACAACACCAACCAATCCCACCCCACCCAACCCAACCACCCCCCCCCCACACCACACCACCCCCCCCCTCCCCCGCCAAACCTCCAACCCCCCCTAACCCCACATCCTCACCCACCACCCCCGCTCCAACACCCCCCCCAACCACCCCATCCCCCCCCCAGCCCCCACCCCAACACCCCCCCCCCACCACATCCCCAACCCACTCCCACCCCCCCCACCCACCACCCATCACCTCATCCACACCCCCCCCAACCCCCCAACATAACACCCCCCCCCCCCCAACCCCCCCCCCCCAACCCCCCCCCCCCACCCCCACACCACCCACCACCCCCCACACCCCCCACAAACACCCCCCCCCACCCCCCCCCACCCCCACCCACCCCACCCCCAAACAACACACCACCCCCACCCAAACACCCCCAAATCCCCCACCCCCCCCACACCCTACCCCACACCCCACACACCCACCCCTCACCACCACCCCCCCCCCCCCCCACCCTGCCCACCCCCCCCTCACCCCCCACCCACCACACCCCAACACCCCTACCCCCCACCCCCCATAACACCCCACCCGCCCCCTCCCCAAACCCACTCCAAATCCCCCCCACCCACAGCCCCCCCCCACCCCACCCTCCCTCACTAAAACACACCCACCCCCTCACATCCCACCCCCCCCACCCCCCCTACCCCCACCCACCCACACTCCCAACCCCCCTACCCCCCCCCCCCCACAAACCCCCACCAAACCACCCCCTCCCACCTCCCCGCTAAACACCCCCCCCCCCCCCCCCCAAACCCACAACAATGCCCCCCCACACACCTACACCCCCCGCCTTCCCCCCCTACCCCCCTCCACCCATTCATCCCACCCCTCCTCCCCACCCCCACCCCCCCCCCTTCACCACCCAACCCGCTCCCACCACCCACCACCCACCCACCGCCACCCCACCCCACTACCCCCCACGCCCACCCCCCCCCCCCCTACCCCCCCCACCCCACGCCCCCCACCCCATCCCCCCCCCCCCCCCCCCCCCCCCCACCCCACACCCTCCCCCCCCCCCAACCCCTCCACCGCCCCCCCCACCCCCTCCCAACCCACACCCACCCCCCCCCCCCCCCCACCCCACACCCCCCCCCCCCCCACTCCCTCCACCCCACCGCCCCCCACCCATCCCACAACACCCCCTCCACCACAACCCCCACCCCACCACTCCCCATCCCACCACCCCCACACCACCACCCCCTCCCCCCCCCACCCCCCCCCAAACCACACCCCCCCCCCTCCCCAACCCCCCAACCCCCCCACCCACCCCCCCACCTCCACACCCCCCCCCCCATCCCCCGCCCCACCCCCACACCCTACCCAACCCACCCCCACCAAACCCCACACCAACCCCCCTCCACCCCCACCCACCCCCCCCCCCGACACACCCCATATCCCCCCCACCCCCCCCCCACACACCATCCTACCCCCCACCCCCACCCCCCAACCCCCCCACATCCCCACCCCACCCCCCCCTCTGCCCCCCCCCCCCCCCCACCACCCCACACTACCACCCACCCATTCGCACCCCACCCCCATCACCACCAACAAGTAATAGGGAAAATATAAAAAAAAAACCAAAAAAATAAAAAAAAAAAAATAAACTAAACACAAAACCCCCATATAACCCCAATACATCCAAAAAAATATAAAAAACACCACCACTCAACCACCCACTACACTCCCCCCATCGACAAACAAAAACAACCCCCAACCAACCCCCCACAAACACCCCAACCCCAACCCCACCACAACACCCCACCAACCACCCCCGACCACCACCCACCAACTCCCCCCCACACCCCCCATCACCCCCACCCCCCCCACTCCCCATAACCCCTCCCACCCCGCCCCCCAACCCCCACCCCAACCCCAACCCTCAATCACACACAACCCCCCCCACCTCCCCCCCTCCCCCTCCCCCCCAACCACCCCCCTCAAACACCCTCCATCACCCCCCCACCACACCTCCCCCCAACCCACACCCCCCCACCAAACCACCCCACCCACCCCCCCACACAACCCCCACCCCCACCACCCCCCACCCCCCCCCCGTCCCCCCCCCACCCAACACACCCCAACCCCCCCCCATCCCCACCCCCCCCCACCCCCCCCCCCGCACACCGCCCCACCACCCCACCCCCACCTCCCCCCCCCCCCCACCCCCACACACCCCTACCGACCACCCACAACCCCCCCACCCCATCCTCTAATAAACCCCCACCCCCCCCCCCAACCCACCACACCCCGCCCCACCCCCCCCACCCCCCACAACCCCCCACCCCCACACAAACCCCCCCCCACCATCCAGCCCCTACCCCACCACCCCCCCATACCACCCACAACCCCAACCACCCCCCCCCCCCCCCAGAAACCCTCACCCATCCACCAACCACCAACACAACATATCAAACCCCACCACCCCACACCCCCCCCCCACTCTACCCCCCAATCCCCCACCCCCCTTCACACCCAACCACCCCCCCACCCCCCTCTCCCCCCCCCCCACCCCCTCTCCCCACCCAAAACCCCCCACCCCCCACCACCCCCCCCCACCCCCCCCCCCCCCCCCAACCCGCCACCCAACACACCCCTCCCACCCCCACCCCACAACAACACCACCCCTCCCCACCCCCCCCCCCCCCCCACCTCCACCCATCCCCCACCCACCCCCCCCACACCCCCCCCCCCCCCCCACCCCCCACCCCCCCCCCCAACACTAAACCCACCCCACACACCCCCATCCCACCCCCCACACCAACCCCCCCCCCTCACTCACCCCCCCCCCCCCCCCCCCCCCCCCCCCCTCCCCCTCCCCCCCCCCCCCTCCATCCACCCCCCACCCCAAGCCCCCCACCCCCACCACCCACACACCCCCCCCCCCCCCCCACACCCCCCCCACCCCCCCCCCCCCCAACCCCCCACCCCCCCCCCCACCCCACCACACCCCCCCCCCACCCCCTCCCCTCCCCACCCAAACCCAACCCCCCCCCCAAAACACCACCCCCCCCCCCCCCACAATCACCCCCAACCATCCTCACACCCAACCCCCCCCCACCCCACCCACACCCCCCCCCAAACCCCCACATCCCACACCACACACGCTCAACCACCCCCCAAACACCCCCCCCCCCCCCCACACCCCCACCCCCCCCCACATATATATATAGGCTATATGTTATACTGCGCGCCCACCCCACACACACCCCCACCACCCCACCCCCCCCTCCACCCACTTCCCCCCCCAACCCACACCCCAACACCCCCCCCCACACCCCAACACTCCCCCCCCCAACACCACCCCCACCCCCACCATTCCACTCCCCCCCCCACCCTACTATCCCAACCCCCCCCCCATCCACCCCACCACCCCCACCCCCCCCCCCCCTCACCACCTCACCCAACCCCATCCTATCCCCCCTCACCCCCCACCCAATCACCCACAGCACCAACCCCCCGCAAACCCCCCTAACCAACCCATCCACCCCCACCACCCCAACCCACACACCACACCCCCCACCCAACTCACACCCCCCTCCCCCCCCCACCCCCCCATCAACCCAACCACTCCCTAACCCACCACCCCACCCCCCCCCACAACACAACCAACACCCACCACCCACTCTAAACCACACCCAACCCAAATCCAAGAACTCACCCCTTCCACCAACGCCACCACCACACCACCCCCTCCCCCAGCCCCCGAACATCTACCCCCCAACCAACCACAAAACCCCCTCACCAACAACAACTCCAAACACAAACCCCCACCCCCACCGACAAACAACACCCCACACACTACCCACCCACAAACCAACCAACACAACCCCCCACCACCCCCACCCAGACCCCCCATCAACACAACACCCCACCACACCACCAACACCCCTCCTAAGACCCACAAACCCCACACCACAATACCCCCCCACCACATCCCCCCCCACCCAACACACCCCCCTAACAAAACCCCCCACCAACCACCCCACAAACCAACCCCCAATCACCCCACACCCACCCCAACCCCCCCCCACCCATCACCCCCAAACCGCACCCACACAAACCGACCACGCCCCCCGCACACAACCCCTCCACAACCCACACCAACCACCCCCACCACCCCCAACCACCCCCCCACCTACACATCCCCCTCCAACCTCACACTCACTCCAAAAAAATAACCTCCAACCCCAACACCCCCCGCCCACCCACCCAACCCAGCACTAAACACACACCCCTTACCACCCCCCCCCCACCCTCACCCCCTACCACAACCCCACCCCCCTCCCACCAAAACATAACACTCCCAAACATAACCCACAAAACCCTTACCCAACCCAACACCCACACACCCCCCACCCCACCCAACCTCACCTACACCTACCCACATCCCCACCTAAAAACCTCCAACACCACACACCACCCACCCCCGCAACACCGCCATCAAATCAACCCACACACCCCGCCCACCACACCTTCACCCATTCAACCCTCCACCCCCACTCCCCCCACCACCCCCCCCCACCACCCCACCATCCCCCACCCCATACACACACCACACACCCACCAAACACCAGCCCCCACACCCCCCCAACGCACACCACTAACCCACCACCACCCCCCCCTACCACCACCAACAACCCCCCCCCCCCCCACACCAAACCAATACCCCCCACCACCACACAAACCACCACCCTCCACACCTCCCCACCCCTCCCACACACCGCCCCCCCACACCAACCAACCCACCCCCCCCCCCCAACCCCACCCCCCCACCACCCACCACAAACCCCCCCCCACCCACCCCACCCCCCAACCCACCAACCCCCCCACAACCCCCATCCTCCCTACCCCCACAGCTCCCCCCCCCACCCACCCATCCACCCCTAAACCCCCCACCCCCCTTCCACACCCCCCACCCCCCCCCCACCCACCCCCCCCACCTACCCTCCCCCCACAACAACCACCCCCACCCCACCACTACCCACCCACACCCCCCCCCCACCACACCCCACCAACAACTCACACCCCCACCCCCCGACCCCCCCCCTCCCCCCCCAACCCCCCAACAACACCCCACCACCCCCAACACCTACCAACCATCACACTCACATTACCCATCCACCTCACAACCCCCCCCCCCCCCTCCCCCCCCACCCCCCCCCCCCCACCCCCCACACACCCTCCACCCCCCACCCCCCCACCCACACCCCCACACACCCTCCCCAACCCACCCCCACCCTCCCCCCTCCCCCACCTACATTCCCCCCCAACACACCACCCATCTACCCTCCCCCCCCACCACAAAACCACCCTACCACAACCCCACCCCCACAACCCCGCCCCAGCCCCCCAACCCCCCCTCCCCCAACCACACCCAACCCCCAAACACTACCACCCTCCCCCTACCAACAACACCCCCCCCCCCCCCACCCCCCAACCCCCCCTACTCAACCCTCCCCCCCGACCCATCACCAACCAACCCCCCCCCCCCCCCAACCTGCCACACCACTCACCCCCCACCCCACCCCCCCCCACCCCCCACCCCACCCACCCACCCCCCCACCCCCACCCCACACCCCCACCCCCCACCCCCCCCTCCCCCCCCCCAAAACCACACCAACCCCACAACCCCCAACTCACCCCCCCCCCCACTCACCACCCAACCCCACCCCCAACCCCAAATCCCTACACCCCCACCCCCCGACCCCTTCCCCACCCCCCACCCCTCCCAACTTAACCCCCACCCACCCCACCCCCCCCACCCACCCCACAACCCACCCCCCCCCCCACCACCCCACCCCCCCCTCGCCCAACCTCCACACACCCCCCCCCCCCCCCCCCACCCACACCCACCCCCACCCACAACACCCCCACAACCCCCCAACCCCCCCCCCCAACATACAAACCCACACACACCACCACCCCCCCCCCCACCCCCCCCCACCCCCCCCCCCCCCCCCCCCACCCACACCCCCACCCCAACCCCCCAAACCACCCACCCTCACCACGACGGCGTGGTCGTCCCCCCCAAGCCCCCAAGGCGCTTCGGCGGAGGCCCCACCCCACTCCCCCACCACCACACACAACCCCCCCCCCCCCCACCCCTCCCCCCCCACCCACCACCCCACCCCCCCCACCCCCCCCACCCCCCCAACCCCCACCCACCCCCCCGCACAAACCCCCCCACAACCCCACTCCCCAACCCACCCCCCCCCCCCCCCCCCCTCCCCCCCCACACCCAACCCCCCCAACCCCCACCCCCACACCCCCCCCCCCAACCCCACCAAACCCCCCCCCCCCTCCACCCCCCCCCAACCCCACCACCCCCACCACCCCCCCCCCCCAACCCTCCCCCACACCCCACCACTCCCCCCCCCAACCACTCCATATCCCCCCCCCCCCCCGCCCCCCCCCACACTCCCCCACCACCCCCCCCCCTTACCAACCCACCCCCCACCCCCCCCCCTCCACCCCCCCCCCACCCCCTCTACCCCCCACCCCCCCCCCACCCCCCACCCCCCCTACCCCCCCCCCTATCCCCCCCCACCCCCCCCCCACCCCAACCCCCCACCCACCCTACCCCACACCTCCACATACCCCCCACCCCCACCCCCCCCCCACCCCACCCTGACTACCACACTCCCTCCCAATAACATACCCTATACACTTACAGTGACTCCCAGGGAATGCTATCAGTATCCCCTCTGAGGATTTGCCACAACTAAATCTATAACACCCCACCCGTCCCCCCCCCATACCCACTCTACCTGCTAAGTCATATAAACAACAGAAAAGGAGCTAGACTTGGAGAGGTGCGTGGAAGAGGAAAGGTGCCACATGTAGTATCCTCCCCCTGCAAAAGGTGATATACCTTAGTAAAAAAACCTGTACTGGCCAATGGATCCAAAGTCCGCCAAAGGTGCTGCTTTCATATAAAAGTTGGTACATTTGAATTTCACAAATTCTTTTGACACTGGGTTGCCACCCATTGCAGGAGAGAAAGAAGAGAGCAGGAACGATGTCTTCTGATAGTCAGCGGTCCGGCTGACCTTTTGGTCCGTAGATTCCTCCAGCAGCTCCCGCCTCCCACTCTGAAGGCCCACCAAGGAAGAGCCTCGGACGAGGCCCACATTCCTAGAGCGCCAACAAGAACACAGGGCAAGCACGTGTTAAAAAGTGGAAAATGTATTCAAAAAAGCCAAATGAAGAGAGCAAATAATACAGTATTAAAGCCAGAGTGTGTAGACATAGTTAAACACACTGTAAAACACTTTTAAGTGTGTGATTGTTACAATTAACTTGAACATTGCAGTTAAACAATGAAATTACTCACAACATGCACAAATTTCGACAGTTTCAAACTAAATATCTCTGAAGTTTATTCCAATGAAATTTGAAATTGGCTGTAAAAAAGTAATACACTATTGTCTGCATAAACAGGATAGCAGCCACTTGTGGCAACCATTGCATGAAGTTTTTCAGTACTTAATAGCATAAGGAATTTCAGTATTATGATTTTATCAAAGAAAGAGGGAAAGATTGTGTTGTATCAGACCAAAGCTTCTTTCCACCTGATAGTGCCTGACATCTTGTCGTTTCTCTGTAAATTTGTCGCACACTGATGTAACAGCCCTTGTAATTTGGCATATTATGCAGTAACATTTTGTTTATATGAACAGTCCTGTAATAAGAATACAAATAAAACATTGATTAAAAAAAGCCACACCTGTAGGTGCAGAAGCATGGGAAGTCCAGCCCTCACAGAAGAAGAACCGCTGAGGAAGCAGCAGAGCAGCAGCACAGCTCAGGCCACAGATTCTCACCATGTGTGGTGTGGAAGTATCTGCGCCAGAAGAAAACAAGAAATACAATTATTTCATATCATGTGTACATTGCGCTTATTACATTTTAATATGTACATAATAATGTACATTATTAGACATATTATATGATTTTGTTCATATAAAAGGGAAAATAAATTTTAACACAACACGATGATCAAATCTATCCTGGTTTGAAAATAGCCAATGCCTAATTTTCACCTGCATGATGTTAAGAAACATTAAAAAATGCATACACAGAAAGCAATATAATAGTAAAAGTCCGCAAAATGTGGGTATAGAAAGGCAAGAAATGTATTTTTCAACTGTTCGAGGTCCTCCGGTGCTGGCATGACACCGACCTTCAGCACCTCAATGTGTCCCTCAGATTCTTCCACCGCTTTTTAGCAAAAATCCACTGAATAAACACATCAACTCGTAACAGGAAAGTAGTAGTTTTTTTCGCGGGGAAATATTTACAACATTGAAAAGTTAAAATAACTTACCCAGTCACAACCACCTCGCTAACCCTCCTCCAAGCAAGCTTCTTTTATTTCGGTCCCCTGCTGTGGGTCCGCGTGTTAAATAGCTCAGAATGAGCACCGACCTGAGCAATTGACTTGTCCTCCACGAGCTGTCATCTACCAGTGATTGATTCCGGTAGGAAATGCGTCACTACGTCACTGGAGTAGAAAGCTCCTATTGTCGCAAACACGCGAATTCTCCCAAAAAGTTCAACATTGTTCAACCTCTAGCGGCGGCCGCGATGGAGCACGAATCGCGCGAAACGCGCGTCAAAACGCTTACATCTCAAACACTCCGCCGCCGAATCGCGCGGAAACGCTCGAATTCGCGCCGCTCTGGCCGCCGAATCGCGCCGCGTATCTCTCGCCCGCCTTTGCGCGCTCCCCCCATGTTGTGTACAATTGTAACCTCCCCGCTTTTGGCCCAGAAATCGCGTTATGGTCTGGAACGCACCATTTTCACAATGAATTCAACACTCTCACCTTTGTAAGCGTTCTCCTCTAAATGTCCAGTCTAGTGCCTCTGATCAGTAGATGTTTACCCCTGCGGGGGATCCCATGAGGTAGAATGAACCAAAGCGTATCATGGGAGGGGGCCGAACGTCAAGCAGACCTTAGTACTGGCTGCTTTTTTGGTCTAAAAGATTGATTAGCCCCAACAGTCAGTTTTATGCCTCATCCCTGGTTAAAGCAGGTTCCAATAACACCTTGTCAGATGCAGACACCCAGTCTTAAAAATACTAATGCTATCCCCACCTAGCCACTTCGGACAACAAGTTCGTTTGTCATGTTGCCAAATCCTCTCCAGTGAAGTATCTGTCCCACATCCAAATCAAATTTTTACACGCTCAGATGTTTGGATCCTCTGATGACTTTGAGAGTACCCTCTTGTCTAAAACTCTGATCACAATCGTCACAGCTGAAGGGTTTTTCTCCAGTGTGGATTCTGCTGTGGCGCTCGAGACGTTCTTTTCTAGTAAAACATGTTCCACACAGATCACACTCGTATGGTTTTCCTCCAGAGTGAGTTCTGTGGTGGGTCTTTAGATCAGAAGCAGAGCTGCAGGTCTTTCCACACTGATCACAGGAGAACACCATTCTGTAGATGGACTTTGTAGATCTGCAACAAACACAACAAAGACACGTCAAATAATTATAATGTGTTTGACATTGATGGTGGTAGAAGTGAGAAATGACACAGTTGAGTGTGTTCACAGTAAAGTGTCAATTAAAGTATCTGGACTTTAAAAGGTTATAACTTAAAAACTAAAATAACTATCATGGATTAGATAAAATATTTCAAACACAGACACATTTTAAACGACCAAATCAGTCTCAGATTGGACCATTCTACTGTGACGCCAGAAAAGGAAATGTCCTGAGTCTGAAAAAGTGGAAATCCCACAAGATAAACCTGGTTAACACAACATCAGTAAATCACTTGATATAAAAAGGAATTGTTGAAAAAAAAAAGTTAATTAATTAAATGGCCCTTGAATAATGTGTAACGGACGTGATGTTTCCGTCCTCTTTTCTCTAAAAATTAAACTTGAGAAGAAAAAAAATCTGGTTGGATTTCACATTTAATTGTTTTTTTATAGGGCTGCAACTATCGATTATTTTAATAATCGATTATTTCTTCGATTAATCGGATAAAAAAAAAAAAATGTTTCCATCCCTTTGTTCACAAACATGGCCATGGACCTAAACAAAAAAACATGCAAATGTAAGCTATGCAAATATTGGCTTTTCGAAAAGTAAAGTGCACAAAAATAAGTATTTTTAGGGATGCACAGATTTTGATATTAAAAATATAATTATATATAAGAATTTTCAGACAATTTGCAGAATTCTCGCTGAAATGGACGTCTGTGACTTTTTGTTCAAAAGTACATTATGACTAGTACATGGCAAATTTTCAACGATTTGTAAACAGGCGGGCGCGAGGGCGGCCATGTGCGCCGAGAGGTCCTTTTATGGGTCCTTTGGAGACTTTACGGAGCTGTCAAATAACTTTAGCGGTTGAAGAAGATGACATAGTCTGGGATCGCGTCTTTCATTCAGACAGAAGACATGTTTTATTGTCGATGGTAGAGACAGCACGAACAACACGAACAACAGAATGCAAGTGTATTATACAGAGCGGAGGCATGGAGACCTCCAATCAGCAGCTGCCACAGTGCCATGTAGCTTGGCCTTCAGATAGACAAAACAAGGGAAAAGTACTGGCTTCTGCACATTGATAGAATGATGAGTTTAACTTTAACAAAAGTTGCTTCAAAGTGTTATGAAATCTCACACGGTGTCTACTGTCTAAATCATGGATCTAAATCCGAAGTGATTCAGATAGGAGGAAAGAGACTAAGCATTGCTACACCTAGCGAGATGAGAGCGCAGAGTGAGAGTGTGTGTGTGTGTGTGTGTGTGTGAGCAGAGGAGCAGACGTGTGTGTGTGTGTCTGTGTGTGAGCAGAGGAGCAGACGTGTGTGTGTGTGTGTGTGAGCAGAGGAGCAGACGTGTGTGTGTGTGTGTGTGTGTGTGTGTGTGTGTGTGTGTGTGTGTGTGAGCAGAGGAGCAGACGTGTGTGTGTGTGTGTGAGCGAGCAGAGCAGCAGACGTGTGCGTGTGTGTGTGTGTGTGAGCAGACGTGTGTGTGCGCTGCTAATGCCACAGTGAATTAGAATTAATCAGAAATCACCATCTTTGTGCATTATATAAAAAAGTCTGAACACAGCTGAACAAGAATGAGCCCAACTCGATTTTATCGATTCGTTGTTGCAGCCCTAGTTTTTTATATAAAAGTATCACTTTGTATCTACTGTAAAAAAAATAGAATCTTAATCAAATGTGGACATCTGAAAATACCAATCAAACTTCTAAAGGACAGAGGAGGAGTTTGGATCCATGAAAAACATAAAATATCTTCTGATTATTAAAATCACATTTTTGGCCTTTTGTCACACTTTTGTACCCATTAGTCCAGTCCTGGGTCTACAGCCTCAGTCCTGGGTCTACAGCCTCAGTCCTGGGTCTACAGCCTCAGTCCTGGATCTACAGCCTCAGTCCTGGGTCTACAGCCTCAGTCCTGGGTCTACAGCCTCAGTCCAGGATCTACAGCCTCAGTCCTGGGTCTACAGCCTCAGTCGTCCTGGGTCTACAGCCTCAGTCCTGGGTCTACGGCCTCAGTCCTGGGTCTACAGCCTCAGTCCTGGGTCTACGGCCTCAGTCCTGGGTCTACAGCCTCAGTCGTCCTGGGTCTACAGCCTCAGTCCTGGGTCTACGGCCTCAGTCCTGGGTCTACAGTCTCAGTCCT